AAAAAAAAAAAAAATCACAAGCTCACAGTGTAACGGTCACTCAAAGTAGGTAAAGACCATAAGATACAAATTCAAGGGTTTATGTGTGACTTCTGCTGAAAGTGAACCAACTTTAATCTTGAAAGCTCGTTTGAAGCCACTGGCAAAGAATCCACCAAATGGTCCGATCAGAGAGGCGAACGAAGAGAGCGCAATACTGTGGATCTGAAATGGGTAAAGGTTCACCGTTTTCTGCAGACACAAGAAAGACGTAGACGTAATTATTAGCTAATACTACATAAAGAAACATTATTGTTACACAACAGTTATCATTTCCAAGGATTCAGGAATAAAACAACCCTCTCGATTATTATATATTTAGCAGAGTTTTATTAGGCCACAATCTCTTAGGTTACAGCATGTAGTTTTGGCCTGTCCTGTACTCACCCATCGAACTGCATTCTGCACCACTGCAGGAAGTGTGTATTCCTGAATCATGAACAGATTTGAGGGCTCACACTCCACTGCAAAGCGGTTTGTCTCACTGTTGTATTCCACTGGACAAACAAAGTACTGGTACTGGGATAGCAGGTACGCAAACTGGAATAGGAGGGAGACGTTAAGGTTTTAGTTGTCACACAATACCATGAGGGTTATGGGGTAATATAACAGTTGTTGGTGTTGCTTGAAGGTAGGGTGAGCATACAACATGTCCTGGCTAGGATTTCTAAATTGCCTAAAATGGCTATGTTTTCACATAGTTTTCATACTTGCTGAAGGAAACACTGAAAAGTAGTTTGACCAATAGCGTGCAGGCATTGTACATAATTGACCAATCGAGGTGTATGACGAAGGGGGATCTACAGACAACGGTCAAAGCAATGCATGTACATGTACATATAATGTATGAAGACTGTGTAGAGCAGTGATGGGCAAACTTGGCCCTTCCAGGCCACTTTCCTGCAGAGATTTGATCCAACCCTGATAAAACTCACCTGCCTGTAGCCTTCTAGTAGTCTTGAAGACAATGATTAGCTGGTTCAGGTGTGTTTGATTAGGGTTGGAGCTAAACTCTGAAGGAAAGTGGCCTAGAAGGGCCAAGTTTGCCCACCCCTGGTGTAGAGGATGCCAAAAGCCACACATTTTAGGTAATTTAGAAATCCTGGAAAAGAAGGATCCTCGAAGGTCTAATTGTGACTTACAAAGAAACTCAAGACCACTGTTGCAAAGAATCCCCCAATGAATCCTTCCCAGGTCTTCTTTGGGGAGAGCTGGAAGAGAGAGCAAAGAGGTTTGAGATAAGATCATTTTCATCCACAATGCATTCAATTATGGAAATGTACTCATTAGTTCAGAAAATGAAGAGACGGAGAAGGTTTATCAGAAAGGTTTAGTGCTGTGTACCATGCAAATATCACAGGTTCACCTTAATCAGTGGAGTTCTTCCAAAAAAGAAGCCAAATAGGTAGGCCATGATGTCATTACAGATCACAATAGAGATGGGAACAATAAACCTAGAGAACAAATTACAGTTTTATTTTACAAACACATACTGTAGGAGAGAAGAAATTGCAGTGAACAACAATACATAAAGAACAACGGGAGAGAAGAAAGTTCCAATTAGTTTCATTTACATTAGTGAATTATTTTAGAGAATTAGAATGTACATTTTAATAAATTTAACTAAAAACTGAGCGTTTCTGTGATCCCTTGAGCAGCAAGTTATCATGTGGAACATCAGGAAGCACAGGAATGCAGCTTGAGAAAGGAGTGGGAGTGAGGTGAAACCTCAGACAGGTCTGTCAGGTCAGGTGGGCTTACCAGATCATTCCCTCAAACAGGTTCTGAATAACCAGATGTGACTGAGTCACCACAATCAACAAGGTCACATGGGTCCAAGCAAACTGGAATGGCAAGCACAAACAAACACACACACACACACACACAATGGCCATCCACACAGACACACACAAACACAGAGTGAACGGTTGAAATGTTATCTCCTTACTTAAACAATGGTAATGCAAAGCGAGTTATGGCACATATCCAAACAAAAAATAATAATTTCTTTTTTTTCTCAAATGTTAATTCAGAAGTCTGTACTAAGACTATAAAATGAAACACAAAGCGATATAAACATTCTAAATGTTTTGACTACTAAATGCTCAAGCAAACTTAGCTGGAACAAAACGTATTTGGCTGCTGAGTGTTTTATTTGCCAGTTTTTAAGTTCATGTGGAATGGGTGTGACCACACTCACAAAGAAAATGACATTTTGCTGACATCAATGGTTGAAGTGAAGTAAGTCACAGTTCGAGGCTATTATTAGAGATTCTGAACCACTGTAGCTGGACTCAACCCAACAGCTCAACACTTTGGTTAATAAATAACCAACAATTTACATCAAAACTAAGTTTGCATTTCTTGAAGGAAATATCAGTGCTAGCAAGGCAACAGCTTGTATTTAGGTTTTGGGGTTTTGCCAATAAAAAGCAGCATCAGAGCCACCATTGCTGTTGTCATGACACTAATTGAGGGCATCATCATTTCCATTGCATTCTGAATGGTGAAAATTCTAAAATGAGTACTTTTCTTCAGCAAAGATGCATTAAATTGATGAAAAGTGACAGAAATTGTATTTAATGTTACAAATGATATCCATTTCAAATTGATATGCAGTTCTTTTGAAAAAAGAACCCTAAAAAATTTATCACTGTTTCAACAAAAATATTAAGCACTCATGACTGTTTTCAGTAATGGCTGCTGAAAACCCAGCTTTGCCATTACAGGAATAAATTACATTTTAAAATATATTAAAATAGAAAACAGTTTTTTTAAATTGTAATAATATTTCACAATATTACTGTTTTTACTGTATATCTGATCAAATTAATGCAGCTTTGGTGAGCATACGAGACTTTCAAAAACATTGAAAAATTGCACTGACTTCGAATGTGTGAACGTTGTTGTGTATAATTTTTTTAAAAAAGGACACTTAATACTAAAATTATCTACATTGCAAAATCTGAATGAAGTCTGTATGCTAAAAGATCATGAAACCCGCATTTCAGCACTAGACCAGAATAAAAGTAATAAAAGCGCTGCCTTGCATACACTGTTAATATATGGCATGCAATGACTCATATAAACATTATTTGCAACACTTTCACAATGCCCAGTGTATCTAAATGTGAACTCATTATACAGAAATATAACATTAAATGTGATATTATGACATGGGACTACTGAGTATCCAAAGACCCAACACATGATATGCACATGACTGTGAATGAAATGGACAGTTTAGTTCTGGCTGGCATATAAATGACTGATACACACCATATAAAACTGCAGGCGGTAATGTTTCTTCACTAAACTCAGTACAAACATGCAGAAACCTGTAAAAAGCAAATAACATGCGGTTAATTTCCTACAATACAGAAGAAATTATAAACCTTATCACTGTTTACTGTATCATTCTGATTTCCATTTAAAGAAATGTATTTGAAAGACAGCAGACAAGCATTTGTTTATCCATTTTTGTTTTGGAAAGCTTCCATATCACTGTTATGACAGCAGCACACATCATTATAGGTTATTTTGTTTTTGTACATTCTTTGTACACACTGGGTTATGTCTTATACTGTAAATTCTGATTTATATATTCTCTATGATGATGACCATTAAGCTGTGCTGGAGAAAGAGCAAAGTTTAGTGAGAAGAAATGACTGCAACAGTTGCCAGCATGCTGTGCATTTATGGCCATAACAGAGGCAGAGGTACATGAACACACATCTACTGTACATCTATGCAGCAGCGTCTCTGTCATGGCCCTGAGCTGCGCTGAACTCATGAGGTTTTTATACAAATTTGTGAAGTTCATGCAGTTTGAGTGATGCTGTCATTAAAGCAAAAGGGCAACACAAATATTAAAACATTATGAAATTCATGTTTATTTGTTTATTCAACTTTTCACTCTAAACATTTTTGACATTCAAGGTTGTGCTATATGTATGCTACAATTCAAAAGTCTGGGGTTGGTAAGATTTTTGAATGTTTTTGAAAGAAGTGCCTTATGATCACCAAGGCTGCATTTCTTAAAGGGGTCATATGATGTTGCTAAAAAGAACATTATTTTGTGTATTTGGTGTAATGAAGTGTGTTTATGCGGTTTAAGGTAAAAAAAACCACATTATTTTCCACATACTGTACATTATTGTTTCTCCTCTATGCCCTGCCTTTCTGAAACGCGTCGATTTTTACAAAGCTCATCGGTCTGAAAAGCAAGGTGTGCTGTGATTGGCCAGCTATCCAGTGCGTTATGATTGGCCGAATACATCAAGCGTGTGACGGAAATGTTACGCCCCTTACCATATTGTGATGATGCCCTGTCAGGCTGGAGTGATGATTCAAAAACATGAAAACCCATTATAAACGAGGCATTCGTTGCATCCAGTGGGGACATAATTATGGATTATAATGACTTATACTGTCTTTTTACGCGTTGCGTTGCATCGCGCCGCGTAAACATAAAACCATGTCTGCATTTGTGATCGGAGAAATGACAAACAAGCGCTACTCTACACTGCCCAAAAAACTCGCTTTAAATATAAAAAATAAAAACTCTTTAAATATAAAAAACGTACTTACAATCTGTGAGTCAGAACAGCCGGCATTGTAGTCTACTCTACCAGGATCAGGAAACAGTCCTCTATAAAATGTGCTGCACACATCTGAATATTTGGGTTGAAGTGTTCTGGAACAGTGTTGTAAATACAACTTAACCACTGATTTCTAGTCGTGTCCATTTTTGGAAAGCCAAACAAAGTAGTTTCGCTTTCACAACGAAACACACAGCGCCTTCACGACATGGCGGCGGCAACAACAAAACTACAGCAAGAATAAAAGTTACGCCTTCTTTCTTTGCGTGAACATTTGGGCGGCGTTATGCAAATCTTCCCACATAGTGAGGTAGATATGTGGGGGCGTGTTAGAACGAGTCGTTTTAGGTAGGTGTGGCTGACTCTTAACTTTTATAAAGAATATCTCTTTGGATTTGAGACTTTAGTCTTTGCAACTTTACAGATCTTCTTTATGCACCAAGAGCTTGTAACACTCCAAAGAGAAAGGAAAAATTTTAATCGCATCATATGACCCCTTTAAATTAAAAATACAGTAAATCAGCAATATTGTGGAATATTATTCAAATGAATACTGCCAAAATATATTTTAATTGAAAACAGCTAAGCCGTTTACTCCAGTCTTGAGTGTCGCATGATTCTTCAGAAATCATTCTAATATGCCGATTTGGTGCCAGATAAATATTTCTTATTATTATCACAGTTAAACAACTTGGTAAATTTTTTTCAGGATTGATGAAAAGAATGTTCAGAAGAACAGTATTTATTTGAAATAGAAATTATTTGTAACATTATAAAGTCTTTACTGTCACTTTTGGTCAAGGTATGTGTGCTTGCTAAATAAAAAACCTTTGAACGGTAGCATAGCTGCAGGTGAATAGCTTGTTGGCACAGAGCAACAGCATATTTATATAATTAAAGCATATGTCAAAGTGACCAAGCATACAATCAACTTGAACACCATTCGATATATATAATCTATAAACAATATAAAAACTATGCTATAAAGCTAAGTGTGCACTGTGGGCTATTGACCTAGAGTCATAAAAGTTTCAGTGGAGTGTTTAATGCGAGTTGTCAGTTACACTCACCTGCTAAATATAGTGCAAAAGAAATAAACCGATGATAACGCACAAGGAACTGCAAAGGTTCCTCCCTTTGAACAAGTGCGCCGAAATAATCAGCCACGGTCTCACCATAAAAGAAGTAGTTCACACAAATCAAGAAGTACCTGAAATACAAGGTGCATTTGTGTCAAGATCTGATGATTTGAGGGAAAGAAATTTATTTGATGGAAACAATACAAGGCCCCTTTCAGCTGCTTAGCAGTCATCTTGTTTTGTTTGGACAAAGCCTGCAGGTGGGGTGTACTTTATGCTAGGTTCCAACATGGAAGTGCACTTTGCTCAAGTCCAGTTAATCACTACTTTATCTATGAAAAAAAGTTAACTGCTAAAACGTGAGAGAGTGGGTGTGTGTTTGTTTGTAGTTGACTGTCCGTACATGAATGTAAAGTACATGAATCAGAGAGTAGGGGGAAGGGTGGAGAGATAAGGGGTGAAAGGAAAGCTTTAAATGGTACCTAGACAGCATTTCACTTACCAGCTAAGAGTCCTAAACCATGGTAGTTCATAGGAATGGTAAACTCTGTAGCCAATGGTTATTATTTCATGAAAACACTTGATCTGAACACCCATAACCTATAAAAAAAGATTATAAAAAAGTAAGCTGTGATAAAAACAAAATATGTTGTAAGAGCTGAACACATTCAAAAAGCACTTTTGAAATTTCTGTCAAACATCTAGTTAAAACACTGTAGGGGTTTTAGTGGTATTTTTATATTATGTCAAATCAGGTAGGGGTTATAAATCAGCTAAATGACAGAATGTGGCCCAAAGGGTTTGTAGGAGGACAGATGAAATGTTTTGTAAATCCTCTCTATAGTAACCACAAACGCTGGCTAGCCAGGGGTCAGTGTGTTTGTCTTGTTAATTGTGTTTGCACGGTACATATATGGTTTGTACTCACACTTACCACAAATATAAGCATAATGGGTCCCAAATAGATGATAAGAAAGAAGCCAATGATCATTGTCAATGACAATATGCCTCTTATCCACCAGTTCTTCCACCTGTTGAGATAAAAAAAAAAAATCAATTTGAATGCAGACAAAAAGAAAACTACAGTTTTGCAAGAAACCTGTTCATACAGTTAAAAAGTTTGTATATGAAAATTGAACATTTATACTGTAAGTACTGGCAAATCCCCACTGTTAAGGGAATAGATGACATTTTCCATTTGTGTTTACTTGGAAATGTACTAAAGGCCTGTGAAAGAGGTGAAATGTTTAACTGATGACCCAATGATTTCCTCACTGTTGAAATGTGGGTGTGTTTAACTAAATGAAATAGCTTGAGCAGAATGATCTACTGTATAACAAAACAATGATTCCAGTTTGATTTAAGCTTCAATGCTGAACATTCAAGATGTATTTATGATATTCTGCGCTTTGTGAGAACTGATGGGATAGATTTATGCCAATGGTGCCATAAATGTAATAAATGGGGCTCCGTGAGAGATGTGAATTCTTAGTTTTCTGGCCCACAGTGTAATAAACTGTTTGCAGGTGCCACAACTCATGCAAGCCACTGGAAAGAATGGGAGGGAATTTGTCAATGGAGAGAAAGAGAAAGGGGAGGGAGAGTGGAAAAAAAAGTGCAGCATCATTACAAAATGTGGTGGGTAGCCAGGCGCCGGCATTCAGGCATGTCATTGGACCAGCGCCTCTGCGGTCTTTTAAAGAGGCTGCAGCAAATCCCACCAACAAAACAGCAAAACTGACAAGGATTAGGATTGTTCCTAATAAAGATCCCGTTTAATCTCTTTGAGGAACCATTTCCCTTTTGACCGACCCCTAACCTCATCTGTATATCACATATCACTAGAGTCTGTCTTATTGATCAAAATTAAAAGTGAATAGCTGAGCAATACACTTGGCTGTAAGGTTATGTGTCAGCTTTCAAAGATTAACCAGATCAATTTTTACAAGGCACTGATTTTACGAAAAAGTCCTTCATGTGTGGAAAGGGTTGTTTTTAGAGAATATTAGTGTACAGGTTTCCTATTTTCCCAGCAAAAACAGGTTCAACCTGTTTGTGATACATCAGTGACTTATAGTTGCCCATGTGGGGCCTAAACATCCATACAGGTACATAATGCCGATGTTGAACGTTTGGGGAGTTGCTCATGAGCTCAGGATCACTGGGTACCTAGATGACAAGCCCTCCAGGGCTTTGTTGAGACACTGTGGAGTGTTATCTGTGGAAGGTGGCACGTCTGGTGTGTCCGCTTTGGAGTCGCCCTCTATTTCTCCTTCCACCTCACCGGGAAAAGTGAGCTTGTCATCTCCATCTGCCTCCTGCAGAGTGTAAACACACGGTGAGGAAAAAAAAAAAAAGAGAGAATTAATGCACTGATTTCAAGGCAGATAATTATATACACTTAACAACACAGGCATAAACAAACAATTTTATATTGCATTTTATGACACAAAATGCTAATGTGGCATTGTTGTGCAGTTGCTAAAGTGTGTGTGTTTGTTTTAAATAGGGGTGTTTTAACTGGTCTCTGTCAAACTACTTTGTAAACATGGCATCGGTAAATCAACTGCTTTTAAAGCATTTTTGCTATTGGTGATAGACACAATAGGATTTTTCAAATGGCTTTTGGATTAGGATTACTGCAGAAAATAAGCTCTGTGACCAATAAAAGTTTTGTTAATCGTCGAATACATTTGATTATCTTCACAAATTAACGTAACTTTTATGAATTTTGAAGCCTAAATACAAATCACCAGAAGCAAAGGGATTATGGAACTAGAAGTGATATGTGATATATCAGTGATATTATGGTTTTTGTCTAGAAAAATACATCATTTTTTGGAATATTACACAACAACACACCAAGAAACACTTCCAAAAACAATGAATTAGGTGAGAGAACCACCAGACACTTGGATGGAAACTCAAAACAAAACTCACAATTCACAATGTCATAATTCAGTAGTCTTTTGCAATCACCCTGAAATGCAGCCCTTCATGGAAATCACAGATTTACCAGTCAAAGTAATAGAGAGCGACGGTGGATAGGATATTAGCCGGCATGACTTATGCAAATGCTAGACAAATGCCTCTGAGGAAAATCAATCGGGCTTGAGGACATGGCACCTGAGTAGGTGCAGTACAGTAGACTGAAGATACCCATCTGCTCGACACAAGGTGAAAAGAAGCTGCTTTCTCATCTTTCACTGTTGTCTTGGCTAGTACAACACAACGACGAGCCAAAGAACAGAATAAAATATGGCCTGTAACAGTAGCGGGGGGGGGGTACTAAAAGAGTTGAACAAATATGTCATCATAACAGCTTGTGGTTATGATTTAATGAATAACTCAACATGTTCACAAGGGCTGAGTTACTTACTGAAATGTATCATGTCTCATGTAATCGCTCTAACAGTGTTTCAAGCATCAGTTTACAGCATTAGTTGAGAGAGAAGAACAATTTACATGTACTGTACTGGATAGATATCCAAATTAATTGATTCAGCATTGAATCAAGATCAGAACTAAATCAAGAGCTTGTGAATCAGAATCAAATCTATTAGTGAAATCTGTGTCAACACCCAGCCCTAATGTTCACTGATAACATCATTATAGGGAAATATTACTGGCTAACAAGGATAGGTCATTGCTAGTTTGTAAGCCTCTACATGTGGTTTCAGCAGCAGCCCACATCCTCGAAAGCCTGATGTGTAATTGTCTCATAATCTGCAATAAATCTGTCATCTGGATTTAAATGCTGTGCCGGCAGTCTACCACTGCGATCACAGAGCGGTTCACAAAGTAGCTGATCTGCCTTTCAGACCGAAAAACAAACTATTGCAAGCTAAAGAAAAAAATCCCAACTGCAGCTTGTTTTACAGCACCTAAACGTAAAAAAGGCCACAGCAAACAAGCTACATGCTGGTAAGTTAATATGTAATACTGCGTAGACGTAATGCTCCTCTACGGCCTACAAACTTTCTAAATAAATAACATTAGCAGTACTTCTATAACAAAGGTTATTTCATATATTCCATGCCCTGTAAGTTGTTTTGGCTTGAACTGTCTGTCACATGCATAAATATGAATTTCAGAGGTCACATAAAAGACACACTGTTGTCCAGAAGTCGGTGATTCATGGCCAGAATAAGCTCTGAATGTGCTACAGACTTTACGCCAGGCAAAAGTCTGGCTCCTGTGAGACTATGCTGGCTTTGTTATTCATAGATTTTGTGTATTTTGTGGTGTTTCTTTCAAAACCCTTTACTGACAACCAAATTTGGCAATGTATGAGCAAGATGAACATTGTACAGTTTCCAAAATTAGACAGTGAACCAAAGCCTTTGGACCATGACTGTAAGCAGCTGTGCTGATGAAGTAATTGGGAGCAAGTGTTGAGCAGGGAGGTCACTCATATCTGAAACAAGTCTCAGATTAAGGCTGGTAAAAGAAACCCTCTGCTAACTTTTTAATGAGGACACACTCAAACCCCCAGAAAACATTCATGGAAATGTACAGATCTGAGCAACACTCATTCCAGCAATCAGCTACATCAGTGTAGTCCAACTACATTTTGTGCAATGTGATAATTAAATGGTTATTTTCGAAAAGGTAACAAAAGGCAACAAACAAACTGCAACATTATCCCCTTCATACTTTGCCAGGACCAGGACAATAGACAGATGAGAAGAGAGAGTTTCCTAACGCTACAGATGAGTAGACCTATTATTAGCCTGAGGGTTTCACTAAATGTTAGCCTAGTAGCATTCTGCAGTCCATTCAAGAAAAAGAATCAGCTGATATATTTCCACTATTTAAATGACACTCAACAGTCAATAGGAAACTACAACTCTTTAAACCTAATAGTAAATCATCCAGTTCAAACAGGCTATTTTACTTTCATACAGTTTTATTTTGTTCCCTGATGCACACTTATAATGTTAGTCAAGGTTTCTTGCATCAGTTCACATAAATTTTTTGCAAGTACCCAATTTTATTTTATAGTTTCAACTGTTTGACAAGAAAAAACTACATTAGTCTACAAAATGAACCCATAATATGCAAAAATATGCATTATTTTATAATAACAACAATAATAATAACTTCTTATTATGTTCAATATATTTATTAAAGGGGTCATATGATGCGATTTCATTTTTCCCTTTCTCTTTGGAGTGTTACAAGCTCTTGGTGCATAAAGAAGATCTGTAAAGTTGCAAAGACTAAAGTCTCAAATCCAAATAGAGGAGAAACAATAATGTACATTATGTGGAAAATAATGTGTTTTTTGAGCCTTAAACCGCATAAACACATTGCATTACACCAAATACACAACATAATGTTATTTTTAGCAATGTCATATGACCCCTTTAATATTAATATTAAATTAATAATATAAATCCATAACATGCCCTTTAGAAGAGAGAGAAACTGCTGTGTTTGTGTCCTTGAGAGCTGTGTGCTGCACACATGTATCCTACTGCCTATAAGAGTCCTGGATGTGAAGGGATAAGAAGACTAGCCTGCTGATTAGCTGCTCCATAAATGAGACTACACTAATCCCTGAGAGAGAAAGAGGGAAAAGCCCCAGTCCAGCTCCATCCCAAAAGGCCTAGCGCACACCAAAACACAAACACACAAAGGCATAAGGACCGCAGCCAGCAGTCACCGCATCTCTCATTCAGTTTCTACCTGCAGAGCCGGTATCTGTAACAGGACGTGCAGAGATCATATAACCAATGAACAGTGGAAATGTCAAAAAACCTGCCATATCATCACTTCAGCAGCCTATTAAATTTTCTCTAAAGTGCTTCAAGGGTGAAAATAAAGCGTCAGTAAAGGACCATATCATCTGTGGACTTTTTCCTGGGGATGACAGCTTGGCCCAGTTTTCACTGTCGCTTTAAATTCTTTACAGCAGTGGCAAAAAAAATGGGCTGATCAGGAATTTGTACTGTTGCAGCAAATACCAAAATGGACACACTCATGGCTGATGTCAAAAGTGAATGGAGGAGAGTGGATGCAGCAGAATACCAAATGTAGTATTGCTTACTGTATTATGTGCTAAATAGTCCACTGTTGCATTATGGGAGAAAACACTGTTGAAAATACCAGCACAGTTGCTCACCAGTGTTCTGCAGGACACACAAATGTCCCCATTACCAGAGAGATTACTCTGAAAGATGTGTCCTGAGAAATGACTACGGCCCATGTGTTAGCCAATCAAATCAATCTCTGAGTTTTGGTGGGACTACCAGTTTTGTCCAACCATGGAAGTTGGGGTAGTGTTTGGGAAATACCATTAGGAATATTTCCCAATTTGGAAAAGTCATTAGAAATTACCTGCAGCAGTTTTAACCCACAAAATTATTTGGTCACCTAGCAATTAGTGTTGTCAAACATAGATTAAAAAATATATATATATCAATGACTCAAATTAACTGAAAAAAAATGTCCACATAACATCTACACTGCCAGGCCTAAACCTAATTGTGTAATTATAAATCACAGAAATTGTGTGATTGCAATATGTGCTGAGTAACCAGCTTTCTGTGGTAAATTGCAGAAGTAGGCCATGACCAGGGGAAGAGAGCGAATCCATCGCTAAGGCCAGGCTGCAGGACGTGCTGCGCAGAGGTTATGATGGTCCACTGAACTCCAAAGACTGCTGAGGTGTACATAGAGCAGAGAACCATGCAAAAGCCCAGCGAGACTATGGCTAATGATGCTTCTCTCAATGAGAGGAAAAGAAAAGATTTTAACTGAAAACCACGAGACTGAGCTCTGTAGATAACCTCAATCATCAGTGAGAGTGCAGGGCTGTAAATACTGCTTGTTATTATGAGTGTTGGAGAGACTGACCTTGAGAGAACTGGCTGAGGGGCTCTAGATGGACAGTCAAAGCTCAGCCCGTGAGACATCAGCATTAGTCTTATAAGGTCAGCGGTCTCCAGGACAAAAACACAATGTTCTATCAGAGCCTTATAAGGTGCCTTATTAGTGCTTCTTTGACTAAATTTGCCACATTTATTTCCATTAAAAGGATAAACCAGATGCCCTTGCAGAATTATCTGTGAATAAACGTAAGTATTTCTGCATAATCAACACTGAATATGCTTGAGTCAGCAGTCTTGGTCACATCACTTTAAGATTTTTTGGAATATTATTGAATATTATTTTTTTAAGTAAAATAATAATTGTACAACCCTCTACATTGCGAGTAAATCACTCGCATATGCGACTAAATCTTCACTCTGGGCAACTAAATGATGTCGAATATTAGCCAATTGCTAATAAATTCTCAGATTTTACTCGCCAG